CTGGCACAAAATATGTGGATTTTCCCTACATACATTTTCTTCTAGGTTTTCATGGCACTTTTCCTCAGCAGTTCTCAAGGTTCTTCATCCCAGAGGTAACCCCTGCTTCTTTTATAGCAATTAATCTGAAAGCATTCTTTTCATCAAAAAATTGGAGATGTCCTTTAAACAGTAATTCCCAGTTTTTTTGTTTTTTGGTTTTTTGGGGGGGGAGGGAGGTTGTTTTTTGTTGGTTTTTTTGTTTGTTTGTTTGTTTTTGGGGTTATTTTGTTTGTTTTGGGTTTTTTGTTTGTTTATTTTTTGGCCTTTTTTTTTTTTTTTTTTTTTTTTTGGTTACTAATGTTATTATGGTGTAATTTCCTGCTTGTGTGAAAGTTCAAGCAAGCAGCCAAGGACAGATGGAGGGATGATCATCTCAGCTTGTTTCACCATCAAACATGCAATGCAATTACAAGCTGTAACACATGCAGGTTACCTGTCTTTTAACTTCAGTGAGGCAAACATGAAGAAGACATGAAGCTGTGACTTGAAGCACTGAAACAGATGTTGTGACAGCAGAAGCTGGACCATTTTCTGTTTCAGTCTGTACAGTAAAGGTGGCACTTTGCCTGCTGACAATGTGCAGGTGAAATGGCAGAGAAGGATCAGTGTGAGCACATGCTGTTCATTATAGTGCTTCCAGGTGTAGGTTCTTAGAAGCTGCTTTTTCTCTCATGTGATCAGAGGTCAGAAATCCCTTTGAATGACAGCATTGGCAACCAGCGCTGCCAACCAGCACTGTTAAAGTAAGTCTTGATGGAATTTATGGAGATTGAGATACTTTTGGAAAGACATTGCTGGAGATTCAGGGATTGCCCACACTGAGATGTTTTGGAGTCATCCTCACGGAGAATTTCACCTCCTAGTTTTCTATAGGCTGTCACAGTCAGGTAACAATCAGCCTGAAAGGAAAAAATTTCAGTTCCAAGAGCAGTTTCTGCCAATAAAAGACTTGACTTCGCAGAAGTTTAGCCTACTAGTTTCATCCATGTCCCATACTGTACATTCATTACTCTTTGGGTCATGCTACAAAGTCTTTCTTATCTTTTGTAGGTATTTAGCAAGTCTGCAGGTTTGTAAGAGAATGAGTTGAAGATTATAGGAGACTTTGCTGATTTTTTTATGATGTGCTATTGCCAGACCTTCTTCAGGAGTCTGTGAGAATCTGTTAACAGGAAAATTCATAATAGGCAATTTAATGAATAAGGGGTTTTACTGGGAAATCCAACATTTTCTGATTAAGTATTAAGTTTTAGAGGCTTCCAAAAAGTCTCTAGAGTTACCAGGAAATAAAATAAAATGAAATTAAATAAATAATTCATATCAGTTAAGAGATAAGGTACAAAACAAGGTCAAGTCTGGATTGAAACGTTTATCATTGTTTAAAGAGCTCCATCACTAACTCTTCCCTTGACAGGCTTATTCCTATAGCAAACATTTTTTGAAATATTTCTTTCCATGTGGCATTTCCATATGTTTTATATTGCTTAGTTTTCCATAAACAGAGCACATACACACATTTTACAGGCTATTAATCCTTTCCCTGTTCTGAACAATGTTGATGAGAGTTTTTTTCCTGACTTTTATGGGAAAAAACTTTTGGTTTTTATTTTTGGTTTGCTGCTTTTGGTTTTTTTTTTTTAAAGAGTGAACTAGATCATGTCCTGCTCTTTATAGTGACTAAGTAGAGTCTAACAGACTTTCTTGTTTGGAAATACTTCTGTCAGTCAGCTATTCCAAGGGCTCATTTCAGTAAATGAGGTCTACCCACAGCTCTGCTACAGCATCTGAGGTCAGCTGGGACACCTCACATTTCTATGGCTAGTACACATCAAGGCCTTGCTCATCATTTCTTCATGTACTGAGACCACCAGTTTGAACACTTCTACTTTAACCATGAGAGATACAAAGTAGGAAAACTACATCTCATAAGGTATGCAGTTTAGCAAGGTGAATCACAGCCATTAATGTATCTCTGAGCAGTTCTAATGCTGTTGTCAGACACACTTAGCCAATTAACCATTGGATTTTATTTGATATAATGACAGCTGCCCTTAAGTAGAGAAGAGCTGAGGGAAGAGATCACAGAAGTATGTCAGGAGGTTAAAGCTGTACTATGAGGTCAGTATGTCATTCCTGCTCCTGCAGAGGTCTCCGCCTTCTTAGCTGCAAGATGATCCTCTCCAGACTGGTGTCACCTTGCAGACAGTGACACCACAAGTGCTTATGTGCTGTGCTGTGAGCTGGGATCAGGAAATTGATACAGCTCAGAGACTGCCCTTGTCTGTCTCTATGTGTTTCAGATGGATCAGTTCCCTTATCTGCTTTAAGTCTCTGCTTCACAAATGCTGCTTCTGCCAGGTGCTGGTCAGCACAGTGGAGGGAATGGGCAACATGAGGTGTATATGGGAATGGCTGTGATTTTGGCAGCACTGCCAGTTTACAGGTACCTAATCCTGCAGCCTAAGATTGTCAATAAATGATAAGGTTTCATGGCACAAGGGTTCCATGGATTCTTTTGTCTTATAAATTAGACACGACTGAAAAGTTATGTATACTACCAGTACAGAAATTATAAATAAAGTAGGAATGTAGTTTCCTACTCTAAAGTAGGAAAAACACACAGGCAATGCAGTCTTAGAAATAATTTACCAGAGCTGCATTTTTCTCCTTTCTGTCTCTCTTCACAGCATGAAGTCATTCAGTTAAGCCCTCTCTTTATTAAAGTAATCTCTTAGTTGTACAGGATGGCCTTTTCTTATGATCTGTTATAATGACAGAAAAAGTACACAATAAAGATCATATATGGATCCAGGATCTCCTTTGTCAAGATTATCCCAGGTAATGCAGAGGTTAGTAATCAATATATCTGTTCAACAGAGGAGATTTTCATCATGTATATTTCTACTAATTCACAAAAAGTCATCCTGGTAGGGAAACACTACGAAAGGGAAACTGATGCATATTGTCATACTCTGAAAGGATTGTGTGCAACTAGTAGAACAGTAATGAGAAAGTAAACGTTTATATTCCTCTATCTTTCTCCACACAGACTATGGGAACTACCATTCCCATATACACCTCATGTTGCCCATTCCCTCCACTGTGCTGACTATAATTGGAGGATTGTTACCAGAGGAATACTTTTACAAATACCTTATTTCCCATGACCTGTCCAGGAAAGACCAGTAAAGTTCATTTGTACTTAAGGAAAGGGAAAAGAACAGAATTTTCCATTACAATACCATCCTAAACCTTCCTTTTAGGGCCGTGTCTTTCACAGTGCTACACTATGATGATACACATTACAGAACACCCACTTCATAATTATTCTTCTAGGAAACGGTAGCACCTGGAAAACAAACAACCCAAACAAACAAACAGAGAACACCACCACCCACTGTTGCAAAAGCTTATGTGAACCATTTGAATAGCATTTGTCATTAGCAGATACCACTGCAATGAAAGAAAACATGGTGCCAACTCATACAACTGATTTTAACCTCTGTTCCCAATGGGTCAGATGTTGACATGGCCAGGGAGATGTCAGAGCTGGTAGGGCTAGAGCGGTTGCAGTCCACTGGGGTGTGAACAGCTTCTACCATGTAAACAAATCCCTATTTCATGTTGACTCAGCGGCTCTTGAATCTTCAGTTTGTTTTGCCTTGGTGAGGTCTAAGTTTTAGGACCTTGCCTAGAGCAATGCTCTGTTTACATGTGATTTTTAAATGTTGGCTACTAATTGTATTGTACTTGAAGAGACCTGAACTCAAAAGGTCTTGAACAAAATTTTATGTCTCTTTTCGTCTTGCCATGCAACAGTTACACCATGGGGAAAAGAAAAAGGAGTCCTGTTGCTTGTCATGGTTGATAAAATAAATATGTTTTTCAATCTATTAGTGATATAGTGCTTTCAACAGAGGAGTGAATAATACCAGGTGTTCTGTGGGATAGAGACACTGTACTCACATTTTGTTTCATAGGAAACCATGGAATCAAGCCATGTTTGCACTCTATAGCTGAAAACAAAGAAGTGTATACTCTTGAACTGGCTGCCTTCAGTGTGAAATGTGGGATGAGAAAGGTTTTGTTTACTGTGAGGAATGTCACTACCAAGTTTCTTAATCCTTTGTCAACACCCAGCTAATTCAGCTTTCATAAAGACAGGGTAGGGCAATGAGCAAATGGATCAGTTATAGTCTTCTACTATCACACTGCATTAACACTAGAGTTTTCAGGTTGCTCTGCTGAAAGAACTGTCTAAAATGTATGTTTCACAGGGATTCTTTTTGGCTAAATAGTTGGCAGACTATGCTTTAGGAATACAAATAAACAACAGAAGATGTCTGTGAAACAAACATGATGATTTTGCAGTGATCTCAGCTGTGCAGTAATAGCAATTAAAAGCTAAAATATCTCAATGGTCACTACAATTAATGCCATTAAAGTAACTAGGCCCAACAGCTGTAGGGTCAAATAAACACAGCTCTGTAAATGACAATATGGCAAATGAAAATTATTGACATTTTCATCTAAATTATAGTCCCTAAATTATCATTTTAACACTAAATAAATAAAGCTATGATAATTCAAAGACAGATTACAGACAGAAAGTAGTGTAACTACTTGCTCCAGAGTGTTAAAATTTAATTGTAATTAACAGCCTTTACTCATTGTCTCTGGTTATACATGGTGTTTCTCATTTACATTTCTTTGCAAGATGCTGACAGCGCTAAACATCTGAGAAGAAAGATCTCATCCACCAGAGGAAAATGGCTCTTCATGTTTTACTGCTGATAATGGACATGGTTGCTGCACTCTTCTAATAATAATGACCAGGAAAAGGAATGTGGGAGAAGGAGGCTCTAAGCTGTTTTCTTTTTGGTTTTCTGTTCCAAGCTTTTCCTGGAGTCAACGCGAAATGTAATTGCTCTTTTGACCTCTATCTTCTCTCTCCCCAGGTCTGAGGAAGAGCTACACTGGTTGATTATTGCAGGAATGAAAGGCCCTCTGACCTTGCCGACCGAACGCCTTGCTGCTTTCAATGTTGCCCATTATGCTGAAGGCAGGCAACTCCTGGAGAGAGGATGAAATCTACAGGAGCACTGCTCGCCGGGCAGGCTGCCAGCAAGGGTTTTAGCATACTAGGGAAGCCAGCTGGGGGAGGAAGAGGGGGGAGACTATATCAAAACATTGTTAGCACAGGGTATAAAGAGCTCTCAGATGCTGATCACAGGTTTCTTCTTCATTAGTAAGACTTTACACCATCCACCTGAAATGAAAAGGAACAGAGACGTAAAGGAGAAAGAAGAGTACAGTGATAATGTTTTTGCAGTGGAATCTGGCAGTCATTAAATTTAAATAAATAAATAAATTTAAAAGCCAACAAACCAAACAAAAAAACCTGAGCCCAAACCCACAATTTTCACAAGAGTAGACAGATTCTTGCTGCATAAGGATTCATTGAAAATACTCCTCCAAGGAAAATGGGTCAAATATTCAGTTGCTATAACTATGCTAAATTGGAAAACATTCACCATAAAATCTTCCATAGAATATTTGTGGAGCTGTAAAAGGTTTGAAAACGTACCAAATACTATGTTTGACATTCTCTGTCTTTTCATGTGTGCATATTTTTATATTTACATATATTTCAGAAAACCAAAACCTCAGAATTCACACAAGTAATAAGATATTGTTTGAAATTATTTCCTATTATTCTGACTGTAAGCTTCATTGCCCTAAGCCAGCCACAATGACTGGCTGAAAGAGGTTTGTAATTTGACTCAAAGATAATACAGAGACTCAGGTGGAGCTCATGAAGGGCACTTACAGTTTGAAGACAGCCCATTTTAAATGAAGCTGACCAAAACGATGTTCAAATAACATGGGCATTTCATTTAGAAGCTGAGTTTATCTCAGCAGGGCCATCAGTATTTCAGTGTCATCATGACTTGAAGACGTGTATGTCTCATGTGTCTCTAGTGATTCATTAAAAATGAATTGGTGTGTTTGGTGGTTTTTGCTTTCTTTTTTTTCTCAATCATTTTTCCCTATCACAAAGAAACTCAACTAAAATGCAGGCAAGAAACACACATTTTGTTTCCCCAGGCTGATGCAAGGACTGGGTAATTGCTAGACCACTCTAATGGCCTAAGCTAATGCTGCTCTCTTGTCTTCGAGTGGGAGAGCCGCTGCATTAGGACGACAAACACAGCACACATCCTGGATCCAGCGGCCACGCTGCACATTTCCCAGCTCCTCATATGTCCTGCCAGGCTGTGGACAGTGGTGATGGCTGCTTTTTGTGGTAGCCAAGCCAGAATATGCTGGCAATCCCTGCACTGCCCCTTGCCATTCCCTGTCTCTATTCTAGGAAGCAAGGCACGTGCCATGTCTTCACAGGCACTGTCTGCCTTGAGAAGCTGGTTTTATCAGGTCACTGCTGCTCAGAAAACGAAGCCCTGCACCACACTGATGCTGTGCTGCTGATGTTGTGCTCCAAGAAGCCTGGAGGAAGAAAGCCAAATAAACTGTTTGTAAGTCATGACCAGAACTGGGAATATATTCTCCTCATTGCTTGGGCTAGTGAGTTTGGACCAGCAAGGGAGTATCCAAGAAAATTTAAAAACAGTTAATGACCTTTATTTTTAGAAGGAATGCTGCCTATCAAGATGGCACTGAGATGATCTGAGTTTATCTAAGTTTATCACCAATACATTCCATGCAGTTATATCTCTAATGGAGCTCCATATCATCAAATTCCTGATTCCTTATTGGCATTTGTGACTATGACCAACACTCTTCAACTTCTCTGTGATAAATAAATATGGGTGCATACCCCAAAACTTTCAGAATTAAGCTTGCTCTCCAGTCTTTCGATTACTTTTCTAATTATTTCTGCATTTTCTCTGGAATATCAGCAGCTTACTTGAACAGAGTGCTCCTATACGAACTATCATACTAAAAATATTTTGAACCTAATTTGAGAATCACCCAGCTTTGTTATTCAGTTGACTATTCCCCATAGGCCTCCATTCATTTTCAGAGCTGCCAAAGTCCTCTACCTGAAATACTGGCTTCTATTATTTGTTCCAAGCTGAATTGCTATATGGTAGGTCTGGTTCTTTTCTCCTTCCTTTTGTTGGAAAAAGAATAGCCATAGTGTTGTGTGAAAATGAAATAAGCCATGCTTTAAAATACTACGTGTAAAAAACCTGAGTGAGCAAATACAGGGGATCCTTTTGTGCAGTTACCATACCTTCGATAGTTTTTCTATGGAAGCAATACAGATTATATTCTGTATTTATATTGTTATATTAACACCTTATATAAAAAGGACATTCATATTGAATACTATTTTTGCTATTATTTTTATTAATGCCCTGTACATTTCAAGAAGCAGTTACCAGGATTAGTGAGGGAAAAGAGAGCATATTGTACAGGCAGAATTGACATAGTAACAACAATAAAGCCAGGTGACCAGGAGTCTAACACACAAATGAGAGTAAATATATTTTCTTCAACACACTAAGAAGCTAAAGACTTTTTTTCACCATTCTTCACAGAGTTCAAATCCTGGCAAACAGCTTGCTGCAGCTCAAGTTATTTTGTTTGGAGAAATCTAAAAAGGTTAAGCCAACTAACACTATGAAACAAATGGATCAGAGGTATTTGAGCTCTGGAAAGTCAAAGTATTAAATAAATTGTAAGTCCATGCTGTGCCAGTTTTTTGTTTTCATTGTTTTAACTTGAAAGATGAAACAAAAGACAACTACATGAGATAAAAACATAACAAAATAAAAAGGTATGAGTAACATGACATGACATGTCATGACATGACAATAGTAAATACTTGTTTTCACTCAGCCTGTTTACATAAAACCTCAGTAAATCAACTTATTTTTCTTGAAGGCAGTTCAAAGAACACAAGCTGCCATTTGTACCATGTAGTTTTTGCATCTTTCTTGCTTGCTACCTAAATGCTTTGTATTGTAGATGCAAAACAGGAGTTTTGACTGTGCACCTGACAACATAGTCTGAGGATTTTGGCTGTCTCAATGGGTACAGTTCTCCACAATACAAGTATCTGCTTGACAAAAATGGCTTATGAACATAAAGGCCTGCATGTACTTTCAAAACCAAATATTTTCTGAATGTTTGCAATGCTTTGCACACAGTGGCTTGAGGTACTTATTTTGCCTGCAAATCAGGCATAGTAGGTACTCAGCCTAGAAACACATGATACATGCTCTCCTGCCCACCTGGACTTTCATCCTATAAAAAAAAAATAGTAAGTGTTATTTTTCTAAAATATGGTAGTGTGTTCACCACAAAATCACTGTAGACTAAAAAAATACATATATTTATAAATTACCTAGTGTAGCTCTAAAAACAACTCAAGCAAGACTTCAAGACTTTCTCTTGGTCCAAAAATAAAAACTGAATAATAGTAAAATTGAAATGATACAAGTAATTTTCCAGTGCGTGTGTGTGCATTTTGGTCTATAGTCTCTTTGGAATTCTTTTTAAACTTTTTGGGAGGTTTTTTTCTCTTCGTTTTGGTTGACATTTTTCTTATACATATGACACTTTCTACGCTTAAAGCTCAAAAGAAGGTGTTGGTGAAGTTCATAAAGATGACCAGAGTGAAATCCCTGAAAAATACATAAAAATGTTGGTTCTTGTCCTATCTATCAGACCCGACAAGATGTCAGAGTTTTCCTGTTGTCATTGATCTGATGTGGGAGAGATGATAAACCCCTGGAAAAATTATACACATGAGGTGTAAGTGTGTCTGTGGGTTCAACAACTGAGCTTGATGCAAACATGCAATCTAATTCTTGCTCTTTGCTTTATTTTAAAGGTTGGAATGTGGTATTTCAAAAATATAATGCCAGATAGGAAAAAGGTGAATGTTAAGGGTTTACTGAATATCAGATTTCATCCAAAGATATGCAAAATACATAATTTCTGCAATATTTGCTAGATTATGGCTTTTATTTTCATAGGAAGAGTGGCTGGCAGCTCCTTGTCAGCAGATGGGTAGGAGTACAAGAAGCTCCCTTGTGTTCAGTATCAGCACTCCTGTTTAATTTGCATTTGAGGGAGTTTTTTCCATAGCATATTCATTTGCCACTGAGTTAATATGTCCCTGCATAATCAGATAAGAATGGAATAGAATTACTAATGATAAGAAGAGGTGGAATAAGGGCATGCCAGTAGAGCAGCCTTTCCTTCAACGACTTAATCTGAGTAGGTAATAATTTCAACTATCTCAAGTTTAGGTTGGTCTTATTTCTTTTCCCAAGGTAGGAAAGTTTGTTGTTTTCATAGTTTTTTTTTTTTTTCCCTCTCAAAGGTGATTTTAGAAAATTAAATGCTATGAATTGGCTATGACAGCCACTACATTCTGTGAAGCTGGAGGATACAGAACTTATACTTGCAGCTAGAAAAATATGTCATTCACCTCCTAAACCAAACAGAAGAGTAAACTAATTAAAGCAGATTAAAAAATACTCTCTGTGAAGCATGAAGGGAAAATAAAAAAAAAAACCTAGAAAAATGTTGGTTGCAGTGCAACATAATCTTAATATATGCAAGTCAATAGCTATACTTGCATTAAGTAAATGCAAATGTCACAAGCTTTTAGGGTTGTAATGTGCCATTGATGGGGCAGCCTGCACAGTGAAGGAAGGAGGACTTCCAAACAGCTTTGTCAGCTGCTATTGAGCCCCTGGGGCTCAGCAGCTGCGCCGTGAGCGAGCTGCCCAGCCAGACTCGTCGGTGCTCAAGAGGTGGTGCCTTGACCTCAGCCGAGAGGTCACGGCTGCACTGCAGGGGTTTGTGTTGCAGCCAAGGACAATCCTCCAGGCTGTTTAGCAATGCATTTGTGGGCCCTCCTGTATCCTTTGGAAAGGGGCGCAGTGACCAGCAGAAGGCTGCAACATGAAACTGCAGCATTTTACAACATCCTGCAAAACCTCACGAATTTACCACTAGTAAATTCATCCCTAGGGGTGTCTCTTGGACAAAGTAGCAGTACAAATGCTCTTGAGTTTTATGTTTCATTTTACTTCTAAACTTCTGTAACTCCACACAGATTATCCCTTCTAGCTGAAATACTTTGTAATGTAGATGAAGCTACTTTCGAATCAAAGAGAGACAGGTGTTAATGGCCAAGATGCAGGATGCCCAGTTTTAAACTCATGTATGATGTAATTCATTTGGAATAACTCAAGTCCTAATTTGGTTTTCTGTGGAAATTCTCAGTGAATTTATTGAGCTACACCATTTAAACACAATAGCTATTGCAGAAAGTTGATACATCATATATTCACCATTTCTGCTTTACAAATTTCATTGTGATTTTAGCATAAAACTGTGAGTATATAAGCCATGATATATTAATAAGTGTCATGAATATCCACAGAAGCATATAAGCAGTTTGAAAGAAAAGGGGAGGAAGATGGGGGAGAAAAAGAAAATTAAAAAAAAAAAAAATGTGCAGGGGTAAGGGAGGGGATGGAAAGGAATGGAAGGGAAGGCAAAGCAAGGCAAAGGAAACAGTCTCTAAAAATGTATTATGTGCTAAACCTTAAACAGTTTCTTCAGCCTAAAGCATTCCTGTGGATTTTGCTTGGACCCTTTAAAATTCTTAGACATTTCCTATTTGAATATCATCTGCTCAGCAGGACAGATAAGCCAACTATTCTGCCTAACTGACATAAACTACATAACCTTGCACTGGCCTTTGCAAATTATTTGGACCAATGACGTGTTTAATTGGGAATTTAATGAGCGAAATAGATGTTCCTGTGCTTTTCCAACTCACAATTATGTTCTTCTGCTTTTACTTCCAGATAACCCTACTGACTTTGAGGAAGTTACAGTTAGAATGCAATTTTAAAAAATAAAAAAAGCAGAGCAACAGGCCCATGCAAATGTTGCTGCTGAAAAAAAAAATTAGGATTTACACCACCATGGAAGAAGCAAATCCAGATGTAAAA